GTCCTTAGCAGAGGCCGACGAAAGGTGGGGATAAGCCTACACTGACACACCGAAGAACAGCATGGGCAACTGTTGCGAATGCCATACACAAGTCATTGTACATAAGTATCTAAGTATATACATATATATATATATATATATGTATATATATATATATAATCATAATATATGTATATATATATATATATATTATTATTATATATATATATATATATTCTTTCTATATATATATATATACACATGACTATATATACCTATAACTACGTATAACTGCATATCTATATATAACTAACTATACAAAGCTGGCCCTCAACCAAGAACCCTTCAGCCCGAAACCCGAGCGTTTAGCTCCCGACGCCGAGAGCCGAAACCCAGACTCCGGAGGACTTTGGCATTAGAGTTTAGGGTTTAGAGTTTAGCGCTTTTAAGGCTTTTAGGGTTTATAGGGCTTTTAGGGTTGAGGCTTTAGGGCTATTAGGGCTGTTAGGGTTTAGAGTTTAGGGCTTTCAGGGTTTAGGGTTTAGGATTTGAACGTCCCTTGTGCGTTTTGCATGATGCGGGAGGCGGTTTGGGGTTTAGGGTTTACTCCGCAACGTAAACTCCTCAAGCCTCTTCAATCCTAAACCCTAAACCTAAGCCCTAAACCCTAAACCCTCAACCCTAAACCCTAAACCCTAAACCCTGAACCCTAAACCGTAAACCCGAAACCCTAAATTCTGAGCTAAGGTTCACCATGGCCAAGCGCGTGGACTGCGGGAGACCCGAGAACATCCCCTGCTCGGAATTCAACTTTGCTGCGGGCTTGCACTTCACTGTGTAATGTAGGGTGTAGGGTTTCGGGTTTAGGGTTTAGGGTTTAGGGTAGGCTTGCACTTCACTGTGTAATGTAGGGGCCTTAATAATTAGAATAAGGTTTTGGGGCCCAATATTCTATAATTATAATAAGGAACCCCTAAAATCATATAGGTAATTATTGAGGCGCCAACAGTGGGTATTAGGGCATAGGAATTTGTGGATTTGGGCTTAGGGTTCAAGGTTCAAAGGCTCTCGGATAAGGGCTTCGGGAGTGGAGGGGATGGGAGAGAGTATTATCCTCTTTGGATATACTGATTCATGTCTAGGGATCTTGGGGTGGCTTTAATGACATGGGGCGGGGGCACGCGGACACTCCAGGCGAGGCATGTGGTTCGAGGGCTGAGACGCGAAACGAATTGCCCGATGGATTAGGCCAACTACACAAGACAGATAAATCTCAAACCCTGCCACTCAAGGTGGCCTTATTCCCGTTTCGGGTTTTCAAAATCACGGCCTCTTGAGCTTAAACGCGGAACCATGGAACCAAATCGTCGGGTTCTGGATAGCTTCTTTGGGGTCTCGACTTCGGGGAGAGGTGGGGGTTTAGGGTTTAGGGTTTAGGGTTTAGGGAAGATGAGGCGTCTATCCCTGACATTCGGATGTATGAGGTTTGGTTGCTTTTGCCTCCTGCATGGCTGAACGAGTCGCGAAGCAGGGTGATGGTTCCACTCCAGTTGATTCGACCCTTCCTTTTTGGAGTATGAGGTCTGGTTGCTGGTGACATGGATTTGAGAATGTGTGGGGGTCTTTGCAACCCAAACGCCCACCTCTTTGAAACTTCAACCCAGTCCCAGAGCTGTAATTCGGTTCAATTCATCTTCAAAAAGGAATTCAGTGATGCTAAAAACCTCTATTTTTCAATGTGTAGAATGTAACCTGTAGAAGATAATACGTATTATGTACTGTGTAAGTTGCAGTCAGAGGAGCATGAACGGCGGCATCGTCCGCACACAGATCAGGTTTAGGGCTTAGGAGAAAAGGGCCATGGGTTTCAGCCACTTTGGTGCGTGCAATACACCCAGGCAGCAAAGTGGGGGCAGTCGTGAAAGCTAATAGAGACAACTCGGATCTTGAGTGCCTTGGTTCAGGCAGATTAAGTCGTGCTCCCTCCATACTGTATACCTCACCGCCCCGTTGCAGCGCACCGTCCATGGGGAGCTGGGAACACGTCTACTGTGTAAGGTTGTAAGTTCGCCAAAGACCATGTAGCAAGTCGGGTCTCTGCATCCCGAAAGCCGACAAAGCTTGAATGTAGAAGCTTGCAAACAACCACTCTCCCTATACAAACAACCACTCTCCCTATAATGTCCATGTTTATGACTTTACTATTTACTATATGTACACAATCCCAATACCCAATACACTTTTTAAGGCCCCGACATAGTGACCGGAAGCTCAACAAAACCCGAGGAAAGTGCCGACGCCCAGGCCTTTTCATGCCGCTCCCAGCCCCGGATTTCCTGCAAAGGAATGCCACAGTGTCAGAGCTTCGGAGACCAAGGTTTCTGAGTGCAGGCTTTCCGGTTTCGGTTTTGTTCAGGGTTCTGGGTGCAGGCTCTCAGGTTTTCGGGGTTTTTTTGAAGGTTTAGGAGCTCAGCCTTTTGGGTGCCTTGGGCTTATCGGGCATGCTTACCTGTAGCAGCTCGTTTTTCATGTGGCAGTTCCTACTGACAGGGGTAAAGTAATATCCGAAGCTCTGTCGGCTCAAGCTGCCTGGTAAAGCCTACGTAGGGTTTAGGGTTTACGGATATTCAACACTCACACTGGCACTGAACGGGTTTACAGTCCCAACTGTAAACCCTTGGCATGCCGGCACTATGAGACCGACCGTTAAGGCGAATATAGTTTCCTATATACACTCACTTAGACAAGGGTCTGGGGGCTTCTTATGCTATGAACATAATAAAGAACCCTACTTTCATGAATCATATTCGCAGTTTTTCAGACTTCCATACTGCAAACCCAAAGCCCCACTTTTTTGCATCAGGTTTGCAGCGACTCAACCAAAACCAGAACCGTCAACGTCTCTGCCTTTTCTGTTCCCCCGAGCTTGAAGCTTGACTTTTCTGTTCCCTCGAGCTTGAAGGTTGACATCGTAGAGTAGATTCGAAACACGAACAACAGCCAAAGGCCTAAACCCGAGAGCTTAAAACCTCCAAAGCCCAAAGAAGTCTCCTTGGCAAGCAGGGCAAAGCCTCGGCTGAGCCCAAGCCACCTTTGCCACCTCGGGGATTCGAGTTCGGTTCGATTTTGAGGTTCATCATATTGGCACAGGGTTTTGAGGGCTTCAGGGCCTTTCGGGGTTGGGTTCACGAGTTAAGGCTGCTTCAGTCTTAGGGCTCAGGACTTAAGGCGTTTCGGTTTTGGGTTTCGGCCAGAAAACCCCACCATACAGGCACTTAGAGGTACGGTGGACAACTGGCCGAAGTGTTTTGCAAAACCCCAACTACAAATCGCCCTTGTGCTTGTATCCAGAAAACCAGTGGTTGCAGGACCCAGGGGCGACCGGAGGGCAGCAGTTCCCTCGTGTGTCGTGACGCTGTCCCGGAGATCCTCGATATGCATTAGCTTATTATAGGGTTTAGGGTTTAGGGTTTAGGGTAAATATTATTAGCTTACTCCAGGAAGGCGACGGGTTAATGAGGGCTTTTTGGGGGTTTTGAAATCAAGGTTCAGAAAGGGGTTTACAAGGGTTCAGGGTTCAGAACTCGCCTTTGCATCCAACGAATCTAACATCGTATTCAGCCGGCGAGCCGGACTCGAAGGGGCTTGGTTGGGCGCTTGTGATCTTGCTCCTAATCCTACTTGGAGGATCATGGGACTTAGTAAGTGAGGTTATAAGTCCCCTAATTGGGGTTATAAGTTATAAGTATAGTTACCTTAAATATACCCCTACTTACTAAGTCCCATGATCCTTTAAGTAGGGATTCTCAGAGCCCGTTTGGACAAGATCTGGCCTCACACACAAGCCTCGAAATCCCAACGTCCCAAACACCCGAAGCGAAATCCGGCCATTCTCAATCGTGACGGTTTCTAGACTGACTTGAGGAAGCCGGATGCAAAAATCATGTCACTAACGACCAAGAAGCACCTCTAAACCTCAAAGGGGGAGGGCCGGTCTCTCAGAAAAGCCACCGGTAGACCTAACGCTGTAGCGAGCCTGTGGACGAGGACTCCTTTCTCTGCTCTCTCCCCTCCTTTAGCAAACTAGGACGGTTTAGGGTTTAGGGTATAGGGCTTGGATTCAGGGTATAGGCTTCTACATTAGACCCCGCTCGACCCGAAGCACTAAACCCCCAAACAAACAGAAACCCCAACCGGTAAATCCCGAACCCCTAAACCCCTAAACCCCTAAACCCCAAACCCCCAAAACCCTAAACCCAACCAAAACCCAAAACCCCTAAGCCTAACCCGTAAACCCCAAACCCCTAAACCCCTAAACCCCTAAACCCCTAACCCCTAAACCCTAAACCCCTAAACCCCGAAACCCCATTAGCTGCGATAGTCGAGATGGCGCAGCACCAAGACCTCGAGGTAGCTCAGGCTCCTGGCCTGGTCTCCAGCTGGGAAAAAAAGGAAGGCTACGATGATCGTGCTTGGGTTTAGGGTGTATATAGGGCTTTAGGGTGTTAGGGTTTAATTTAATAAGGTGTAGGATTCAGAGTTTAGGGTTTGGGGTGTAGCGTTTAGGGTATGACCCTGCTTCGGGTTCAGAGTTTAATGGCCGTCCGACACATGGACTTGCCTTATAAAGCTTGAAGACCAGCGGGTTGCCAGGGTGACTGGAAGTGAATGCTCGCAAAGTCATTTCAAATTGGATACTGCTGCACCCCCTCTTCCCACGTGGGCTTGTTCATGCAGGGCGTTGCATACCAAGCCTTATTATCAGCTCACTGGCACTATCACCACCGGCGCGCAACAGGAGACCATCCCAAATTGTAATTATCGGATTCCTTAAAAGCGCCTACAATGGCCTACAAGTTGTACTATGTTTAGGGTTCATACACCATATAGGGATTCATAGTGTAGGGGAATGGGGCCCTACTTTTAAGGTTCTTTTCGTCCTTAAGGATGTACCCTAAACACCTCAAAAAGATGCCCTACACTCCTAGCAGCGTCTGAATCCCAGCCATACATCGAAGTGCCTGGTTGTTGTCGCGCAGGAGCTCGTTGCTTAAGATCATGTCTTTGCCCCAAACCTCGAGATGTTTTGGTGAAGCCATGCTAGACTGAACTGTATTCTCTGAAATCGCATTGTAATGTGTCATGTTCTGTTGAATTGTCATATGCCGTGTTTTACTATAAAACAGTATTTTATGTTAATGCTGTTTACATCGAATTCTACTATGTTGAGATTTTCTCCGCCCAGCACCTCGAGACCGAAACACACTTTGAACCGTCACCCCAGACCGCACCTCTCCTTGTTTCGAGCTCTTAGTGCCTGAAGGTACCAATTTTCTGGGGCTGCAGTTGCCCAAGTAAGAGGTTACTGGGGTACCACACATATGCTTAGTAACCTACGATTAGGTGACGGGAGCCCTAGGGGGGCTTTTACATGTTCTGCAACGGAAGTTAAGCCGAAACCTCTTTGCCTGTGAAGTTTGGGAATTCGGGTCAGTGCTCATGCCTGGATGTGCCACATGGTTCAGCCTTATGAGGGCCGCACTCGGTAAACTATACGAGCGTGCGCTGCAGCTCATGGAACTCTCCACTTCTTAGATTCTTCCACAGGCACAAGGACACAGGGGAGTCAACGCTCATTTCCAAACCGATGTGCCTGCACACAAACCCTACGAGCATATTGGGGGCCCTTACATATGCGAGGGGGTTCATATCTTCAACTGCACTGGAATATGGCCAAGGTGCATCGCCGGTCACCAAAATCCGCCCTCCGCGCATACAGACACCGCGGCGGATGATGTACAGGCATCCTCGGGTTTAGGAACATTTTCTGGCTTGCCCAGGCCCCCAACTATACCCTGTATGAAACCCTTTATACACTTCGGGTCTTTCGGGTTTGGGCTTAGTTTGGGACAATAGCAGGTCGCGTTTTCCTTAACTTGTGGTTTCGGAGTAGGAGTTCCACAGGGTCTCATAACGGCCTTTGTAGGAAAGGTTTCTATGTAAGGGCGTTGCACGGGCTCCGTGTTACAGCGGGGTTTCTGAGGAGTTTCCGGCGACGCAAGTTTGGGGTTTAAGCTTGAAGCAGCTTGGGCTTGGGTCTGAAAGTCGACCCTAAGTTGATTTCTACTTAGATTTCTATCCTCAACAGCCTGACAGCCGCTTCTGTGATGTCGTTTAAGCTTTATCGTCACTAAATCCAAACGGACCCGCCTTGAGAGCTGCACGCCCACACCTCAAACGCTGACCCCCTGCCATCCCTTCACACTTAAGGCCTGGATCGGTCCTAAAATCCTTTTTGAACGAGGTCTCTCTGAAGTGCCTCTAGCAGTAGAATCCTAAACCCTAAACCCTACACCCTAAACCCTTTTTTGAGCAGGGACTGCACTGCACTAAGCCGTGAATCCCTTCAGCCAAGCTCGTGACTCCAGCGGTTATGGCAGAGCACGTGAAGCCTTCTGCACTGTCTGCAACAACTGATCTGAGACTGCTTGAAAAGACACGACCTTTACTCGATCTCGATAAGCATGCACCCTAAACCCTAAACCCTAAACCCTACTAGACCCTGGAACTGTCAACCCTGAACCCTCGATTTAAGTGTTTCTACCTACAAACTCGAGAGACCTCAACCTTGAAGTCTTCAACCCTCAAGCACGGCTTACTCAAGCACGGCTTACGCCCGAAACCATCAAACCCTGCCATCCCTAAACCCCTAACCCCAAACCCCTAAGCCCCTTTTTTTGAACCCAGACTCTGCCAATCACCCCTAAACCCCTAAACCCCTAAACCCTAAACCCTAAACACCCCCCCCCTAAACCCTACATTCCGAGAAGCTCTCGCCGGAAATGGCCTCCGTCGGGGCGAAGAGCAGGGGCTTCAACTTTCGTGCCTGGGGACACTCAGATTTGCACGGGGTCGAGTCAGAGGCGTCGGAGCAAGCAACAACAAGACAACTTACCTAGTAACTTTAAAGAAAAGGGATGGTGAGCAAGTACAGCGATGATAAAGGCGGCTATCACAACAGCAGAAATCATGGCAGCAATCATAGTAGTACCAATATTCACCGACATAAGAATGACAATATTTCGTCAGGATGAAATGATGAACAAGACTAAAAAGTAAGGGGGGTTGCAAGTCGGGTCTTGGGATTCAGAAGTTGCAGTGTTTTTTTTCGATTTCGGGGCTCGGAGGGTTTGAGGTTCGGATCGGAGGTTGACGGCTGACGGTGAAGAAAAGGGTCGGCTTTGAATTTGAACGGAACAACCAACAAGAAAGAAAGCAACTTGCTTCAGGGGGGGCAAGGGAAACTAACCTAAACCCTCCCTAACCGTACCTACTATATAGGGTACTAGAGCCCCTAGACCCCTTTTTAGTAGGTACCTGGTGGGTTAGGGTAAGCGCTAATTATATCAGCCCAACCCGCTCTTCGGCAACACCGGTGTCGCAGTCCCGTGGAGTGTCATCGGACACCGAGGTGCCACCTGAGCCAGAGCATCTGCTGCCATCGCCTTCACGTAGGGCACCTGCTTCAGTGCTTTAAGGAACGGTCAGGGGCTGGCCCTCAGGGATGGGGGACGTCAAGGTTGAATCAAAAGGAAAGTTGGGGCTTTGAGGCTTTAAAGCCCTGAGCCCGCATCCTATAATGACGGCTGTAGACGTAATGCTCAGATACATATCTGAACAGAAAGTCTCCGACCTTTCTCCTCCGATCCTTCAACCAACGCCGACCACCCACAAACCCTGAACGAGACCCCCAAACTCCCCACACCGAGCCTTACATGATTTAGGCTTTACCTGGCTCCGGTTGCCTAGATAATTGGCTACCGGGGTAGAATTACAATATATGCTTGACCTACAAGTTAGGCAACTGGGATGCTAGGGTGGTTGAGAAATCAGGCAAGTCCTCTGACTCGGGCTTCATTGGCAAGAGACTTTGAACTCAGGGTTGAGGGTTTAGGGTGTAGGGTCTAGGGTGTAGGGTTTAGGGTGGTTTAGGGTTTACGGTTTAAGCTCCAATGAAATCTTGCAGTAAGGTTTAGATTTTCGGACTTAAGGTTGAGGGTTTAGGGTTTAGGACTGGCCTTGTGGATCCACTCGTCCACGAGCTGCTCCGACACTTCACCTCGGCTACGGTGGCCTTCAAGAGCTTCAATGACCAGCTGAAAGTACTAAGCCTGGGCTTTGAAGTAGCCAGGGAGAAATCAGCATACACTTGTATTTCATACTGGTCCCGTTAAGGAACGGGTCTCCAACAAAGCATTAAAGTAGGGTGCTCCAGCGCCAAGAATCGGAACCCTAAACCCCACAACCCCGGCATACCTCAAAACCCCTTAGGGCTTTTGTTAAGGGTGCCAAGGTGGAGAGTCCATGAAGGGTTTACAAGTTTTGCAAGTGTTCACGGGTCCCCAGAAGTTTTTGAGGTTTGGTGATGTCAAGCTCTTTATGTGATGGTATGGCAGGAAAACCCGTGTCTTGGCTTGCCTTGCGATCTGCAACATTACGCACCGTCTTTCTCTCTCTCTCTCTCTGTCTCTCTCTCCCAGGCATTCGAAACGTCAAGCCTGACTGAAGCAAGCCTGTAACATAAACACTACCACGGCTTCGGGAGGGGTCCACTCCATCATCAATCTTCCCAAGTAGCCATCTCCTTGAACAACCGTGGCCTCAAGACCCAGGTAAAACCAAAAAGGGCTGAACCAAGTCTGTTTCCCGGCTGCCCCAACACGCCATGGGTACTTTTATGAGTAAGCTGGGGGATTTTAGCTACCAATACTTCCGCAATGCCTCCAAGTGCGAAAAAATACGAAAGGTTTAGGATGCAGCTTGGTGTTTGAGTCACTTCCGTCCTGTCCTGGATTGAAATTTACAGGGTTGGAGAATTTACAGGAGCCAGAAACAACAGCCGAGAGTTGCTAAGGTACCTCCGACATCCCAACAACCCAGATTTCTCATTATCCCTTGATTGTGGTATATACAGTAAACTATAGTAGGTCTCCCAATAGCATTATCAGATCTATTCCTTGACTCCCTTATAGACCCCTTTAAGGAACCCTGAGGGGAACCCCTGAAAGGTGTAATCCTTAATTAAGGGATATGGAAAGCTGCAGGGAGCCGACCATCACAGCCAAGGGGCCCTGCAGCATCGGCGACATCTGGGCAATAATGGCCTTCTGCTCATGAAGACGACAAAGGCTCCTGTCTTGGGGTTTAGGGTTTAGGGGTTCGGGGTTTCGGGGTTAGGGGTTTAGGGGTTTAGGGTTAGGGGTTTAGGGTTTAGGGTTTAGGGACGGATTTAGGGTTTGGGGGTTTCTTCTTGCAGCATTATTGTAAAAATACTTATGATTAGTATTGTAGTACTATTGAGCTGATTCTTGTTCTTAGCCGTATTGACTGGTCTTGATATTATTTATTGTGATTCCTATGACTCATGACTATGATTGCTAACTTCCGTCTTCGAGTGCTTATTCTCAGCTTCAATATCGGTAATTCTTCAGGCTCCTAGATGCAGGATCTGGACTTAGGACAGATGGATACCAAAACCCTAAACCGAGGCATTCGAAGAGGTGGAAGTCTATGGTACCGGGAGGGGATCTTACAAACTGCCTTGGCATAGGAATCAAGAACCCTGCCCGATTGGAGATATTTTAACTTCGAGTCCTGATGTATTCACAAAGCACAAGACGATCCGAAACGAAACGGCCCTGAGCCCTCGGCCAAGTCCAGAACCTCAAACGGCCTAAGCCACAGAGGCCTCAACACGGCCAGCAGAACTCAAGACACGAAAGTAGCCCCAAACAAGAACAACGTAGGAGTTCGCTCCAGCAAGTTAGAACCACCCTAAAAACCCAAACCGAAGGCAGCACAAAACACCTTCACCTCTGCCCTGGGTTCTCCTCCCATATGCTCCAACTAGTTATCACTCAAAACCTGACTTGAATCCTAAAACCCTAGACGCTAGCCCTAAATCCTCCACTCAAGGCCAAGCCGGGCTCGATGGGTCGGGTTCCTTTTTCGGGCTACTAGAATGGATCGCTACAAGGGTGTTTATGAGGTTTTTTTATTTGGCCTCTCGCGTGGCCAGGTCCATGAGGGACAAAAGTCTTAGGGTTTAGGGTTTCGGCGCTCGCTCTCGGACAAGCCAGGCGAGGTTCTTGGTGCGCTTGGAGGTGAGACACATGCATGCCCCGAGACGCAGCCATAATCATAAGTGTTGTTTGGCTACTCGCCACTCTCACTCTCGCACGAGGCAGGCAAGGATCCACACATGTTCGTCATGCTATCGAACCTCTCCGGCAACTCACACTACGGGCCAGAACCAATCTAAACCATGTAACCACCCGCATGGCCCCAGCCAAAGAACTTCCTCCCTCGGAGACGTTGCCCCACTCCACCGCTGACATGTTTTTTCTTCACGGGCGCAGCGGGTCACTGAAATCGCCAGCATCTCAACCATAGAATGGACACGGCACTATAAACAAGCAGAGATACACAGTTTCTCGAAGTATTCTCCTTCGACCACTGCTACTTCTAAAGCTTCTGCTACCAGACCCTCGAATCAGAGGAGCTCGCTGCCATCCGGGTGGGGGCACCGGGCAGATGGGCTCGAACTTGATTGCAGCAACGCATGACAGAGTCCGCTTCTAGGACGGGGAGATCCAGATCGACGTTTTCACACACAGGACCATCTCCCAAATGACCATCGCCACACAAAAGCAGCCACGGTGACGGTATTTCAGCTCCGCGGACTGGACGATGCATTCAGCCATTTTGTTGTAGTCAATTGCAGTAGTCTCAGAATCCGCTGCTTGCCCTTTGCATTTTTGGCAATGCCGACCCCGGGTTACCGTGAAGGCTCTGGAGGCGGCTGCGGCTGTCACTTCCAGGGCCTTCACTGTAACCCGAGCTCAGCGTAAAAGCCATCTCCCCGTCACCCCGGAAGCCTTCCGAGAACTGGGATAGACGCGTCCCGCTTTCGAGACCGTCATGTCCTGCAAGCAGTTTCTAAGTGCTCCACACCATCCTCACAACAGCAGCAGAGCAAGAGGGACATGGCTGAGACCGCGAACCAACGCAAGGAACGATGGAAGACCTGCTTGCAAGGCTTGAGCCCAAAGGGTTTCGACTTTCACACTCGCACAAGGCCGGCAAGGTGCGGAGCCCTCGACCGCTGGGTGCACGGTGCTCCGGAGAGGGTTTCTGTTCTGATGGCTGAGGTCGGCCATGAATCAGCAGATTACGGTTGAGAAGGTGTGTTTCTTGCTGCTGGGTGGAGGAAATCTTCCCGAAACCCTATTCTAAACACCCGAACCCTAAATCCTAGTCAAGCCTTAAAAATCCCAAACCCGAAATCATTGCAAGTTCCCAAATTCCAACTTTCCAAAGCCTTATAAATCTTGTTTTCCCAAACTGTGAAGACCCTTTAAGACCCTGTACTACACCCACTCAACCTGTAAATCCCACAATCCTTCCTTGCCCCCGCCTGGACTCGATAAAGTAGCGGCGCAGCTTCATGCGCAACGGCTCCGGCATCTGGCTGTCCTGTGAGGATTTCATTGTTTTTGTTTTGAACTCCTTTTTCCATCCAGCGGAGCATCCACTATCTAGAATCCACATGTGTGGAAGGCAAGTTGGTAAGAGATCTCAGTCATTGGGGTTTAGGGTTTAGGGTTTGGTGGAGATTTATGGGTTCTAGAGAGGGTTCGACAAGGGTTATTGAAATAAGGATAAGCCGATGGGTGTCTTACGGCTTGCAGGGTTTAGGGCTATAGGCTGATAGGGTTTAGGGTTTAGAAGTATAAGCTTAAAGGATTTAGGCTTTGGAGTTCAGGGTTTGGGGTTCAGGTGGGATGGCATGTGATTGAACTCTAGACACACCCTAAACCGACAACCATGCCTACAGAGGTCCGTGAAGAAACAATCAAGACGCATTGGCTCCGGCGCTGGACCCTAAATCCGAATAGGATAAATCCTTAGCCGAAGTCGCAGCCACGCGTCCCCCACACTTGAGTTGTAGCTTGAAGTCTGGGATCGGGGTTTGAAGGGCTTGTGCTTGAAGCATGGTTTAAGCAGTCCAAGACCACGTAGACCAAGGACACACGACTTCGAGAGAGACAAAACGCAGGGTTCAGGCTTTTTGGAACCCGTGGCCCCTAAACCCCAATCCCTAAACTCCAAACCCTACAAACCCTAAACCCTATAAGCCCTATAAGCCCTATAAACCCTATAAACCCTAATCCCTAAACCCCAAACCCTACAAACCCTAAACCCTATAAACCCTAAACCCAAATCCCTAAACCCGAAGCCCACTTTTCGCCAAAGGAATTCGAAGCAGAGGCCTTCAGCAGCCAATTCAAGTCATCCATGGTTCGCTTGAAGGCCACCTTGGGTTTAGGGTTTAGGGTTTAGGGTTTAGGGCACCTTCCCAGAGAGCCCCATGACCCCCTGAAATATTGACTAGATCCCAGTCTGGTTTATGGATTTTAGGGATTTAGGGTTTAGGGTTTAAAGGCCACCTTCCCAGAGAGCCCAATGACCCCCTGAAATACTGACTAGATCCCAAGCTGGTTTAGGGTTGTTAGGGACTATATCCCTAAACCCTAAACCCCTTGAGTCGTAAGATCATGGCTGTCCGAAACCCTTGGATGGGGTTTAACCACATCTGAAGAAAGTTACAAGCTGCAGACGTCTGTACTGTGCTCTCATCTTAGCTTCGGTGTTTGTTTGTGATGAGAGCTCACCAGAAACCAAGTCAGGCCTTTAGGTAACGCTAGACAGGCTGAAACACGGACGACTTGGACCGTCAGGGCCCCTAAAGTAAGCCGTCCCTCTTGATGTGTTTACAATGACTTTCCACCTGGGGTGCACGCGCTATGTAGCATGGACTGTAGGCCTTCAACCATACCTATAAAGGAAACACGTTCAAGCCAAAGTAAGGGGTTTAGGGTTTACGGATGGTCACCCTAAACCCTTTTCTCACTGGGCTCAAGGTAAACTTAAAACCTTAACCCTGAGTAAACCTCGGCTTCTGCAGTGAAGACACGTCGTGTGGCAGCAAGGTGGACACCACGGCGCACATCTGGCCGATAACGAAGGCCCATACTGTGGCCATGGCCAGCATGCACAAGGAAGCCACCAAGTACCTGAGTTTCTGGATGCTTCCATGGCCTACCAAAATATAGGGGCCTTAATAATTAGAATAGGGTTTTGGGGCCCATTATACTATAACTAAAATAAGGCACAGCCAAAATACGATAGGAAATTATTAAGGCCCCTATATTATGCTTACCCACCAGGGTGCTATATGGTTCATAGAAGGATACGAGACACCCTGCAAGAACCGAACGAGTCCTCCGCATTGGGCACAGGATTAGGGCCGCAGGCGCGGGCAGAACACACAAAACCCAGAACCCTAAATGCTTCCGGGTTTCGGGTTTAGGGGTTTGGGGTTTAGGGTTTACAGGTTTTAGGGTTTAGGGGTTTGGGGTTTAGGGTTTAGGCCATGCCGAGACCGAAGGCGACCTGTCAAGAGCAATGAGCTCGGCCGCCGAATCTGACAAGAGGTCGGGATGCCTTTCGGGTCTTATAGGGGCTCCTTGCAAGGGGGGGGGGGTTCTTATAGGCTTGTCCTAACATCCGGTGCTAGTTGTTCCTAAACCCTAAATCCTAAACCCTGAATCCCTTAACCCTAAACCCTAAACCTTTCCTTAGGGGTCCGTAGCTTTGGCACCGAACCTCCGACTTGGGTTCTGGCTCGGGGAGTCCGACGTTTCAGGGACTGAGATCGGAAGGTGGGGAATGTGGCAACAACCGACTCCTGGGAGGTAGGTGCAGTGACTGGAGAGTACATCTATAATTGCAATTAATATAAGGCCTTAATAATTACCTATACTATTTTGCGGGGTCCTTTAGTATAATCATAATACAGTATACCCCCAAACCTTATTCTAATTATTGAGGCCGGTTTAGGGCTCAGCATCCTCACCTACTTGCTGATGGTGAAGCACAGCAACAAGGGCTCACTGGCACCGGCGAGCCTGTGTCCACTGCGCCCTTTGAATGCAGGAGACAGGTTGCAATCCCCGACATAGTGTTTTGGGGCCCATGGTACTGTAGTTATAAGAAGGGGCCCCTAAAGTAGTATTGGTAATTATTTCGGCCCCCACATTAAAGCCTCACTCCTAATGATGCCTTGGTGCTCCTTCTCGGTCTGCGGCGTGATGTCCTGAGCGCGGAACTTGTGAGCCAGGTTCGGCAAACTTGAATGTCTGGGCTCAGGGGTAAGGTTAGCACAACACACTTGTTAACGATGCAGTCTACACACTATTCTTAACACCCTAAAACCCTCGTTTGTACTCTGCCAAGTAGGCGGCCTTGGACAAATGCCCAACAAAGCCCAGCTCCGGATGCTTCTTGCAGGCTCAGCATCGAACAGTGGCACGATAACTATTTCAGTAGCTCTCACAACCATACCTCTAATACACCTTACACCCTTCACCCTAACACCCTGAAAGCTAGCACCCTGAAGCATATGCCCCTGAAGCGCAAACAGCCTCTTGCCCGAGGAGCCCCATAGCCGATACTGGTGAGGGTCATGATGGCCCAGTAGAGCGACAGACCTGAGGAAAACGCTGCAACATAAAACATGCTGCACCATAAGCTTCCAATGCTAAACGTCCTGACGCCAACCAGGGCTAAACCACGAGACCCATACAAAGCCAAAGCCGACGAAGTTCGAGAACACAAAAGGAAGAGGCACACTTTCAACAACCTGGCCTTGATAATGAAACCGGGGCTTTGAGTTAATTAGGTTTTGCTATACTTTATCGCTTGTTATACAGACCGCCCCTTCAACCCCCCCCCCCCCCCCCAAAAAAAAAAAAACATCAGATAACATCATCGGAAAGCATTTGGGCCAGAGCGCCTTGAGAGGAGTCTTGTTACAGCTAGGGGCTATCAGGGAGACCCTTGGCATCGTTCGGGGTAGAAACCGTATGGGACTGAAGGCGTACGGCCTCAGGGCCGAACCGAAGGATTCAGGCTCCTGTCTGTCAATGGGAAGTTCTGTAGATTAGGGTCCATTTTAGGGTCCCCATTATAAGGGTGCCGTACTATTTTGGAGCCAAAAAAAACGGGAACCTGATTTAGAGAAATATTCCTCTCTGCCTGGCAGCACTGACC